TTGATTCAATCCTCGAATCCTTCCTTCTTTTCCTCTGTCCGTCCGCCCACATGAAAAGAACGAGCCCCCCCCCCCCATGCATACTTCTTTGAGCGGCCGCTAAATGGTTTGGGGGGGGCACTGAAACGGGGCTTTTTTAAAACGCGATAAGGTTCCAGAGGGAGTCTGTAACGCCGACACTCTAAGAAGTCTACGAAGACGTATAGGCTAAGAATAGTAGTTGATCGTGCTATTGACTTGAAATGTGACGATTTGCCCTGTGAGCATTGTGTGCATCTGTAATGTGTGCTAACACTGTAACAGCCTGAGTAAACTTACTGTGCCTTTTGAGAAACGCCTTGTTCTCCGTCCCCTTTCCAGATCGACCCGATGCAGGCAAACCTGTTCCACGAGATTCACGAGCGCGACACGGTCCCGCTGACTGACGGGATAGGACAGGACACGGGCGTGCATCTCAAGAACAACATCATCAGGGACATGTTCCTGCTAGGTCTGTCTCAGCATGGTTAAACCCTAGTGGGACTGAGTGTGTGTATGTGTACGTATGTGTCTCTATCTGTCTGTCTGTCTGTCTCTGTCAACCCCCCCTCTCTCTGTGTGCGTGTGTGTGTCTGTCTGTCTCTCTCTCTCTCTCTGTGCGTTTGTGTGTCTGTGTATGTGTGCGCGCGTCTGTGTGTATGCTCGCGTGTGTATGTGTGTGTATGTGTGTGTGTGTGTGTGTGTGTGCTTGCGCGCGTGTGTGTGTGAACTTGCGTGTATGCGTGTGCTTGTGAGTGTGCTTTCTAGTTTTTATACTCTCGACCTTACCGCTCAAGATTCGGGGGTCTGATTGGCCGATCCTCGGTCACGTGTTTCGAGCGACCAGGCGGATCCCCCAATTTTGGGTTGGTCTACTGCAGATGAGAGCAAGGGAATACCCATAGCGACGCTACCTGTTTTCTAGTTCATGTTTAGCCTTTCTTTTGCATAGACAATCATATTATTGCGCATTCTATAACAAAGTTGTCCCGTAAGTGTGAATGGATTAGCTTTTCACTCAGTTTGGTGCAATGTTCTATTACCCTATTCTGTTATCTAACGCTGTTTGAAACAGTGTAATTCATAGTTGGTGAACCATCATTACTAGATATATTGTATTGAGTTTTGATTATGTTAGATATATTGTATTAAGTTTTGATGTTTTACACCTTCCCTTTGTGCTTATCCAGGTCGTCAGTCCGTCCGGTTCAGTTTCGTGACCGAGACGTCTGATTGGACGATCAGTGATGACGCGTACGCCGCCTTCGACGTCAACAAACCAAACGACATGTTTAAGGACGGACTGTGGGGGGCGTACAGCACCGCCAACCTGGACTACACGTGGAACGTCATCCGCCAGGCCAGGCAGGACAAGAAGTTCTCCGGGGACATGGTCTGCTGGGGGAACAAAGCTGGAGAGAGCTACAGGTACGGGCGCTAATTCTTGTTGCACAAAGTAGTAAAGAACCCAATGCAGAATTCTTTTTATCTTCTTCTGACAATGCCCATCTGTCGAGAAATCCACAATAACTGGCTTGTTGGGCATGGAGGAAAGCTGTGCAAAGCACCAGTCCTAAGGGCACACCGTCGGAGCATGTAGGTGACATCGAACCCAGAACCCATGGGTTCCGGGTCTTACCAATGACGCCACGTCTTGTTTGTCATAATCATATTCAGTTCTGAAGAATGACTTGAAAAATTTTTATTGAAAATGTCATGTTTATCATCTAGTGTTGGTCTATCCTATAATCCAACTTATTTTCGAAGCCAGTGTTAATTTGACTGACAAAGAATATTTTTTTAAGACCTTTTTTTTTAATTTCGTCAGCTTGCAAAGCTGATAAAGGATAGTTTGATAAAATTCAAAGTTGTTAGGTCAATAAAATGTGTATGGCTTTTCCTCTCAGATATTACGACGAAGGTCTCCACATGGGCAGCCCGGCGAAGGGCGGGAAACCTTGTCACCTAGCAACGAACGAGAACGAGATCATGATGAAGAGTCTGTACGCCACGGTGAACAGTAACGGCCAGGCCAGCTGGAACCCCGCGCAGTTCGGCTTCCTCGGCGCCAAACTCATGCAGGTGCCAAACGACAGAATAGCCATTTGGGTCAGATGATCGCGATACGAAAACCTACATCCTACAATTTCGAAACAATATTTCTTTTTTCTGCTTCACTTTTACTGCATTCTATTATACTGGACATCTTTCTCAGCAATTCAGATAATTCTTCAAAGGACAAAAAAGTGTCCTAAGTAAACATAACGTCAGCTGCATAAAGAGCCCCACTTCCCGCGGTGCTTCTCCAGTTTACCTTTCTTTAAGGCTATGGAATATTCTACATTTTGAAAATATTGTTTTCCTTTAAGATTCTGGCAAGGTGTGTCAACATAAGAGTCACTCCCTTGTATCTCAAACTGAATAGACGGTAGTGTACTTGTACGTAAATTTTTCACAAAGAAAACAAGATATTCTGATGGTTTGAATTTCTGGGTGCGACTAAAAGACCTGACACTAAACAGTCGTCAGAATCTACATTATGTATATTTGTCAGGAATCATAGATGATCTTTCTGTGTATAAATGTTGATCCTAGGCAGCTAATGTTGGAGTTCAGATTAAATTTGTATTATTTACGTCATGGTATCTGTGTATAGTAAGCCATATATGGCGATGTACATGTTACTTGTTCTTGAAATTATCACTATTGTTGAATGAATGTTTAAACATGTGGAACGTTTTCTCCATCTTACAAAAGCATACGTTGAGTTTTGATAACGTTTGTTCAAAACCATATTAGAAACTACCTACGGACGATTTTGCTCTTGTTGCTGTTCTTTTTGCTGTCGTTATACCATATATGCATTTTTTTTGTTGGAACGTCGATGTAATTAAAGTTATGTGAATATACGCTAAATCATTGTCAATGTGTGCTCTCTATAGTGGTCTAATAGACATAAATGTCAAATGACTGTGTTGTTTCTCACGGCTGAGTACTATATCATGTAAAACAGTATGATTTGGCATCAATCCACTGAGCTATCCACCTTTCCATGGGCGATCCTTCTGTTAATTATAATTAATATTAATTATCTCTAATTATCGGACTGACTACGATTATTGGATGCAGTCAAATGTCTCGTTGGTGCGTCATTCAGCACCAAGGACAGAAACAACAGTCGTGCTTATGTCTTGTTGTCGGGGATACCGATCTTGTTGATGTGTCATTCAGCACCAGGGACCGATATCAATATCAACCATAAAAAGAGATGACTGTTAATGCTTGTACAGAGTGATATTTAATTGTAGCCGGGGCATTAATATTTCACACTTTCGACACACGTTTGTTTGCAATACAGAATTGTAGACACCCTGTAGCGACCGGTCACAGTGGCAGGGTGTAAAAAGCTAAATAAACAGTCGGTGCCTGGTATTTAAGTCATATGTTATAGCTCAAATGTCATCAGAAAAGGGACCAAAACAAGACAGACCTTTGTAGCGGTGATCAGGGTGCACACTGAAGTGCTTACACAGGTATGTTGACATGTAGTGTTCAGCCAATCAGAAAAAAAGTGCACCAGCTAGATCGTTATCTTCCTATCGATACTCATGGGTCATAACATAACGATTTCCTCAGAGGTACGATTGTAAGACCAAAGCAGAGCTACCGGACTTATTATTCAGTCTCAAGGTTTGTTTTCATGTATCAAAAATCATGAGGGCTATCATAGTCATCTTATCCATTCTCTCCACCGGATATGCCATTCCAAATGACGTCTATGTGCGAACCGATGGTGAGGGTACATGCCAGTACACCTGCTCCGAGATGGAAAATCTACAAAGCACCGATGCAGAACAACAGGTAGTTGAAAATACTAAGAGATCACAAAAGGGGTGTTTTCTTTCATTAATAAGCCCAAAAATTGTTGAAAATCACCTGTTAACTTCACAAACTTATGTCTCCATTTCTTACAGGCAATGATCACGGACCATGAGACCCGCCTCTCACAATTGGAAACAATCGTAGCGGCCTCTCAAACCTTGGCTTCCATGGACCACGGTGTCGGTACCGAGCTCAACCCAGCCTCCTCCTGCCTTCATATCAAACAGAACAACCCCTCCAGCCAGGACGGAGCCTACTTCCTCATCGGGAAGGGCGGAACCATCTACCAGACCTACTGCGACATGACCACGGCCGGAGGCGGCTGGACGCTGGTCTCCAGCGTGCACGAGGACGACATGTACGGCAAGTGTACGGCCGGGGATCGCTGGTCCAGCACCCGCGGGAACAACCGCAACTACCCCGGCGGAGACGGCAACTGGGCCAACGTGCACACCTTCGGCTCCATGGGGTCTGCCACTACCGACGACTACAAGAACCCAGGCTACTTCAGCATCAGCGCCTCCAACGTCATGCTGTGGCACGTCTCGAACAACGTGCCGCCGAAGGACTACAAAACCGCCGCCTACCTGCGGTACCGCACCTCCAACGGTTTCCTGGATAGCTACGGAGGCAACCTGTACTCGTTTTTCAAAGATCACTTCCCCATCGGCTACGACCTCGGCACGTACACCCACGACAACGGCCCGGCTATCCCCATTGTGTACGATGTGGGCAGTGATCATCTGGTCCAATCACTGTTACCTCCGAACATCGTTTCACTACAAGAAGCTGTCCCCGGGTTCGTGCAGTTTCGCGTGTTCAACCGCGAGCGTGCCTGCCATGCGGTTTGTCCAGGTGTCAACTTCGTTGGTCCCAACTCAGAGCAAGTGTGTATTGGCGGAGGTGGATACTGGCCTGAACATGTGAATCAGTGTGGTGACTACGCCTCCAAGGCCTGGGATGGCTACGGTACCGGCGTGGGCTGGAGCTCGAATCTTCTTGTCACCGAGTCCGTCATCATGTTCTTTTATCGCTGAAGAGCCTATAACATGCAGCCAATGCGCTATTCCCACATAACATAGACCTGTGGCTAGTTCAAATATACTTGGATGTTAATCCAATGAAATAAGATTAAGGACAATAAGATAAAATTCACATTTTAGCTTTAGCAATCAGGCAAGTAGCTATGTACTAAGTGGATCTATGTGAGACACAACATTCTAATTGTATCCTGAACGTCTGTTTTAACAAATACTAAATGGATTTTGAAGCGCCCTTGCAAGGTCATATTTGTCTATGCAAACTTTCTGTGCATACATTTCTGAGGTAGACATACTAAAACAACTAATCACAGTGGCAATGTGTAAAAAGCTGAATAAACGGTCGGTGCTTGGAGTTAAAGTCACAAGTCGTAGCTCAAATGTCACCAGAAAGGGGATCATAACAAGACAGACCTTCGTAGCGGTGATCAGGGTGCACACTGAAGTGCTTACACAGGTATGTTGACATGTAGCATTTAACCAATCAGAAAAAAGTTCACCACATCGTTACCTTCTCAACAGTGATCATGGGACACAACTATTTTGTCGATATCATAGGTACGATTGTAAGACCAAAGCAGAGCTACCGAACTTATTATTCAGTCTCAAGATTTGTTTTCATGTATCAAAAATGATGAGGGCTATCGTAGCCATCGTTTCCATTCTCTCCATCGGATATGCCATTCCAAATGACGTCTATGTGCGAACAAGTCGTGAGGGTACTTGCCAGTACACGTTTGTGGTTCCAAACGACGTGGCACCCCCCACCCACTCCTGTTCCGACACTGACAATCTACAGACCATCGTTGCAGCACAGCAGGTATTAAGAGAACACAAACTAAGTGTTTTGTGGCATAGGTAATACATATATTCATTGAGCATTATATCTACTAGAGCACGTGCAAAAGCGGCATGACATGTTTAAGTATAGTGCTTTCCTATTTGAAACGGCTGTAAGTATGGATCAAGCGTATAAAAAGTCATACAGGCCAAATGAATTCATACATCAAGAGTCATACAGGCCAAATGAATTAGCAGTGTTTTTTGACAAAGACAATAGAGAAAGTTTCCAGACTCCGTGACTAACAACCTTCTATCAAAATTTCTTACAGGATACGATTACGGAGCTAGAGACCCGTCTCTCACACTTGGAAACCATTTTTGCAGCTACTCAAACCTTGGCAAGCCTTGACCACGGTGTCGGTACCGAGCTCAACCCCGCCTCCTCCTGCCTTCACATCAAACAGAACAACCCCTCCAGCCAGGACGGAGCCTACTTCCTCATCGGGAAGGGCGGAACCATCTACCAGACCTACTGCGACATGACCACGGCCGGAGGCGGCTGGACACTGGTCTCCAGCGTGCACGAGGACGACATGTACGGCAAGTGTACGGCCGGGGATCGCTGGTCCAGCACCCGCGGGAACAACATCAACTATCCCGGCGGAGATGGCAACTGGGCCAACGTGCACACCTTCGGCTCCATGGGGTCGGCCACTACCGACGACTACAAGAACCCAGGCTACTTCAGCATCAGCGCCTCCAACGTCATGCTGTGGCACGTCCCGAACAACGTGCCGCCGAAGGACTACAAAAACCGCCGCCTACCTGCGGTACCGCACCTCCAACGGTTTCCTGGATGGCTACGGAGGGAACCTGTACTCACTCTTCAAAGATCACTTCCCCATCGGCTACGACCTCGGCACGTACACCCACGACAACGGCCCGGCCATCCCTATTGTGTACGAACAGGGCAGTGATCATCTGGTGCAGTCATTGCTGCCTCCAAACGGTGTTACACAATCTTTCCCAGGGTTCGTGCAGCTTCGGGTGTTCACCAACAACAGAGAGTGTTTAGCAGTGTGTCCAGGCGTCCGCTACGTTGGTCCGCATGCTGAACACGTGTGTATCGGTGGGAGTGGATACCACGTTCTTGAAAGTCAGTGCGGTGACTACGCCTCCAAGGACTGGGGTGGCTACGGTAACGGTGTGGGATGGAGCTCCAACCTGCTCGTCACTGAGTCCGTCATCATGTTCTTCTATCGCTAATAAAGAGTCGGAAAACCGTCTTCGAATTCCCTCAGTAAACTACATACGGATAATTGGAAGATACAAGTTCCCGACTTTATCTTTCCACGAATAAAATGACTGTAGCAATAACTGTACGACTTGGTCTATTTTATTCAGGTACATGTTCAGTATCTTAGATTGCTAGTACCTTAGAAGCCTAGGAGTGACTTTTAAAAAAGTCACCGTAATCAAATAACGACAGTTGCAATGACCACTCAGCCACCGTGCAGAAAAATGCCATTATAATACAACCTACTAGTATATTCCTTTCGTGTTTGAGTTGATAAGGTATTCTTTATATTGGAACTAGAATTCTTTTTCATTAGATCTGTTCATTTATTGCGCAGGTTCTCATTTACTAAGCCTAATATTTATTTGTTACACAGTAGATTTTGACCGTCTGTAACCAGTTAGCCCCCGTAGGTTACAGACGGTCAATGGACCCCCGTTGCCGTTTGTACTAAGTTCTAGATTACTCGTTCAGTGGTCGAGTAAAATGTCCTCAGTTCACAGCGCCCCTGTGCGGCTCCATGACAAATAACAGCTCTTGTCAACGCTCCTTCAACTTTCCGAGTGCAAGTCATAACGCAGCGGGTCAACCACGTTTATCGTCACTTGTTGATCATGATATTCCCAAGTACACACCAAATCATACGCCATGTAGAGTTCATAGTCGTGTGTGTGTTTCTTAATGGTATTCACAAGTCACTTGTTGATCATGAGCCGTATGAACTCTTCGTAACAGACCTGCCCGTCCCCCTCCACGTCTGCCTCCTCCATCATTTCATCCACCTCCTCCTCCGCCATCTTGTCTGCGATGTTCATCATCACGTGACGAAGGTCTGGAACGCTGAGGAAAAAAATAAGATGTTCTGTTTCAAAATTGTCGCGTTTCTTTGCAAGCAAAAAGTTAGATATTTTGCTTTTTTGTCTGAACAAAGAAAATGTTGTTTCCAGTGTCTATAAGTCCCTGTGCTTTTGTCGAGTCAATAAAGAAACAGTTATAAATCAGATCAGTTATAGGTTAAATCTTTGCCAAAAATTTTGAAACAGACGTTGTGTTAAAAATACATGAAAAACATACGGTTGGTCCAACAATACATGTACTAAGTATTACCTGATGAAGCCGTTGCCCTCCTTGTCGAATACCCGAAATGCCTCGCGCAGCTCGTTCTCAAGCTCCTGGTCGGCGTCCATGGGTCTCGTGACCAGGGCGAGGAACTCGGAGAAGTAGATCGTGCCCGTTCCGTCGGTGTCTACTTCGTTCAGAAGCTCCTGTTGGACAATATAGGTAGTTTAACTGTTGACTGACTGACAATTGCAAGTAACCTTGAGTCATTTTCCCACGGCAGAGCTATCCCGCGGCAAATACGTTACGTAAGGCCCTGCCGATAGACCCCCCTTTAAGTACAATTAAAATGGGGCAATTAAGTGCAATTGAGGCCACACCGACTTGATTTTATGCATGACATCCTCTGAAGACCACCAAACTAGTGCGCGCGGGCGAATAAAAAATTCCGGCCAAAAATAAAAATGCTACTAAACCACAGGAATACAAAGCTGGTATTGTGAATTTGCGGCAGTACATAGCGACGTATACGACAAGCCGGCACATGCATATGCTGCCTTTTTGCGGACTTTATAAATCGGCACTGTGCGTATGTACTGAGTTCTTGATTCGTGGAGCTTCGGTAGCCTGGGTGCCATCCTCCAGAGTTACCACCGGCTCCGTGTTGTCGCTAACTACCATGGACTGACTACCCAGGCCTAGAGCCTCCGAGGACTGGCGGGACCGTGTTTTTTTTTAGAACAGGCGACAATCAATGCGCGCGTGGATGTCATCCATAAAATTGATTTGGTGTGGCCTAACTGGTAATTAATACAAGACGTAACACTGTTCACTCCGAGTCTTAGTTCAAAACCAGAAACAAGTCTGTAAGCATTTCGGATACTAGACAAATCGCCATATGTTCCCCCAAATATGATTAGTGTCTTTTCAAGCCATGATGCACTCTTGAAGATATTGTTATTTTCTAATTTTCTTATCATTTAAAGTTCAAAATTTGTAGCAGCATTTATCGTAGGTCACAACTGATACGACATTTAGCCTACATTCCAGACTTAACTTTCCACTGTCCCTGTCACAGTAGTAGGTAGAAGGTCAACATGTTTTTATTTATGAAGATTTACCACATCTGTGGAAGGATTGACATAACAGGTGACTATCACCTCTTCAAAGATGTCAACCCCGAGACCAGACTGTAAGGTTTGAACCACTCACACCGGGAAGGTCCCCTACTCTTTTCGATAAGTGCGCTGGGTTCTTTAACGTGCGTGGGGTGTGGCTCTCCCAAACACGGGACCTCCATTTAACGTCCTATCCGAGGGACGTCCCTAGCCGAAGCTAGGTACTCATTTACACCTGAGTGAAGTGAGGAAAGTCGTGTAAAGTGCCTTTCCCAAGGGCACAAGATCGGTGACATGGGCAGGGTTCGAACCCGCGACCTCTGGGGTGTGAGCCGAACGCGCTACCGACTGCGCCACACGACCCCACAATGTTATGTAGGTAGAAGGTTAGCTTATTCCCACGATACAGAGTACACACCGAATCATGCGTCATGTAGAGTTAATAGGCAGGTCAGTGCGTTTCTTAATGGTATTCAAAATACACCTGCATACGGGTCGACGCAAAAATGTCCACTGAACACTTGGCAAGGAACTCTGCGCTGCAACAAGTCAAGACCTATTGGCCTTGTCTTTAGAAATAGCTCACTCACTCACTACTAATTACACTAGGTGGCATTTTTCCAAGTAAACTTTTTGGATCATTTCAACGATCTTGAATCTAATGAACCGACGGTCGACTATTGGCTTTTCATGCGGGTAGATTTGCTGTACAGACCTTAAATATACCCCATAACTAATGACGCAAAAAGAGGGATAATAGAATCGAAGTCTACATTACAGAGTAGAAGTAAGACTAACTAGAGTTCCACGATCTCATACCTTCGCCAAATGATGTTAGCTTTTATGATTAAGAAATTATATATTAATCCCCCTAATTATGCAAATAGGATCCTCAATTGCATGAATTATATCTGTTGATCATATTCTCCACCAAAAGACAGTCTTATCTTAACAAAAAATGCCATGAGGAAACTTTCTCATAAATTATGCAAATGAGGTCCTTATTTGAATAAGTTATGTGTAATTATGTTCACCTTAACTTAACTTTCAAACACCCCAAGTATAAAATTCCAGGCAGTTACCACTATGCAATTATAATATTTTCTCATTAATTATGCAAATTAAGTCTTCATTTGCATAATCAATATCTGCCTGTGTTTCTCTCATTCTTAATAACATATGTCACAAGCTTGAACTTCCTAATATGAAATGCAGCTGATAAATAGAATTTCCTCATTAATTATGCAAATTACATCCATATTTGCATAATTGTAATATCATTATGTCAAGCATCACTCAAGCTACCTACATACCAAAAATCACGGTGATCCATCAATCGGTTCTTGAGTTATCCCCCTTTAAATATTTGTCCATTAAACCCCCCTGCAGTTCTAGAGCAAGCAACTAGGGGGCTCAAACTCATGTCACTTTATCCCCAGCACAAGAGCTATCTACCATCTAAATTTCGTCACCCTAGCATGTCTGGATCATGAGATATCAAAACCGGAAGTTCTGCTGCAGTACCATGACAAGCCGCCAGGTGGCCCAAAATCTAATCATTTTGAGGTCTCATCAAGACCTACCCACCTACCAAGTATCAAGACAATCCATCAAGACCTTCTCAAGTTATCGTGTTGACAGACACAC